TTGGTTGTTTCTCTCTATGTTAATGTGCTGTTGTGGAGTTCTAGTAATGAGAGACTTAAGCAAATATTCGCGTCCTGTCATTAATAAAATTAAGATTATAGTTACACTAAAGCTAGTATAAGCCCAGCAAGACTAAATTAATTAAATTAGTTAATTAAATAGAAATATACAGCGAATACAAGTTAACCATTTTGATAATAACTCACAAATTAATCATTTTTATTCAAAGTTCAGGTGAATTTAATAAGCACACACCACAACCTTTAACATCAAAAGAATGTAAAAAATGAATACACAAAAAGAGTAACTTTTCAAAGGATTCCCCACTCTTGACACATCAAATATTATATATACAATATTTTGATATACAGCCAAAAAGACAAAAAAAAAATACTATAGTACATAGTATAGCACTCCTTGGGTGATAGAGCCCGATAGGAGTTATATATTGTACTCACAAGCCATTAGGTGGGACAGGCTTACAGAAATATCTCAAATACTTTCAATTTAAAATTAGCATGCATGCGCCACGTCATTAAAAGGGGCGGGCATAGCAGGCGTCTCTGTGGCTGAGTGGAGCTTCTCACGGCGTGGGAGCAGCAGTCCAACACCAGATCGGTGGACCGATAAGGTAAGTGGGAGGGAGTTGACACCAGGCAGTAAAGACGTAAAAGTATAAAATAATAATAAAAGAGTTAAATGGTACACTCACAGTATAAAAGTAGCCAAAATACCATTAACAATAGTAAAATATCCACAATGCATTTCCCCTTTAAGGCTTTATCAAGTGGAGATAAAAAACATGCATCCTCCATGACATTGCCGGAAGAGAGGTTAAGCAACAGCAAGAAAGACTCTGTGCTGAAAAAAGGTAAGTAAAAGGCTTTATTTTTTTCATTTTTGGCACACATGCTTGTGATTACTATAACAAGGGATAGGGGCACTAAAGTGCTAGGAATACAGGTTTGTATTCCTAACACTTTAGTGTTCCCTTAAGAGGTCTCTCTTTGATGTACTGTAATCTTCTACACCTTCCTATTCATAAGCATCAGTAAATGTCATAAAATGTATATTGCAGTATGCAGCTCTGATATAAATTATTATTATTATTTTTAATTATGTTATTATTTACATAGCGCCAACAAATTCTGCAGCGCTTTACAGTGGGTGGACGAATAAACATGTAGTTGTAACCAGACAGTTGGACACACAGGAACAGAGGGGTTGAGGGCCCTGCTCAATGAGCTTACATGCTAGAGGGAATAGGGTAAAGTGACACAAAAGGTAAGGATCGTATTAGACTAATGACAGTTGCAGGAGAGGAATCAGTCGGGAGCTATTAACAGTTTAATTGATATACTTTTATGAAGAAGTGGATTTTTAATTTTTTTTTTGAAGGAAAGGTGACTGGGTGAGCATCTAACGGAGGAGGAAAGTGCATTCCACAAGAACAGTGCAGCCCTCGAGAAGTCTTGAAGGTGAGCATCAGAGTTGGGAGTACGCACAGAAGATAGGCATAAGTTTTCAGCAGAGCGTAAGGGCCTAGACGGTACATACTTGTGTATTAGGGAGGATAAATAGGTGGGAGCAGCATTATGTAGAGATTTGAAAGCAAGAACCACAATTTTAAATTGAGCCCTATATGTTACAGGACGCCAATGTAGGGACTGACAGAAGGGTGAGGCATGGGAGGTGTGGGCGGACAAGAAGATGAGCCTCGCCGCCGCATTCATTATGGACTGTAACAGCGCAAGTTAGGAGCACGTAAAACCACTGAGAAGTGGATTACAGTAGTCAAGGCGAGAAAGGACAGTGGAATGGACCAGAACCTTAGTCGCATCTGGCGTTAAGGGTCGGATGTGCACAATGTTTTTGAGATGGAAGCGGCAGGATTTGGCAATAGACTGAACATGAGGCATGAAGGAGAGGTCGGAGTAAAAGAGAAGACCTAAGCATCGAGCCTGCGTGGTGGAGCTGATGGTAGCACCGTTCACTTGGAGGGAGACAGACACAGGAGTAGCATTAAGGAGGAAATTTCAGTTTTGGTCAAGTTTAGTTTAAGGCAGTGGGCAGCCATCTAGTTAGAAATAGCAGAGAGGCAGTCAGAGACACTAGTCAAGAGGGATGAGAAGAAGCTGTTGATGATCAACAGTGTCAAAAGCCGCAGAAAGGTCAAGGAGAATTAGAATATAGTAGTGACAACGAGATTTTGCAGCGAGTAGATCATTGGATACTTTGGTCAGTGCCGTTTCCACAGAGTGCTTAGCGCAGAAACCAGACTGAAACAGGTCTAGCAGAGAGTTGGACTTGAGGAAATCTGTCAATCTCACATACACAACTCTTTCAAGGATCTTGGACACAAAAGGCAGTAGCGAGATAGGACGGTAGTTGGATGGGAGTTAGGGTCAAGGTTGGGCTTCTTTAGAATTGGGGTTATAGTTGCATGTTTGAAGAATGATGGAAATATGCCAGAGGAGAGATAGAGGTTGAGAATTTTAGTGAGAGGTAGAGAAAGAGAAGAAGACAGAGTATGGATGAGATGGAGCAGGTAGTGGGGAAAGAGGACTGGAGCAGAGCAGAAACCTCTTCTGCTGTAGCGGGTGCGAATGAACATAGAACAGCAGAGGGAGTGAGGTTAATGGAAGTATTGTAAGGGGAAGAAGAGATGAGAGATCTCTTCTCTGATTGTAGAGATCTTGTCAGTGAAGTCAGTTGCAAGCATAAGCATACATTTATAGTGAATTTATAGTGAAGAAAGTAAAACACACAGTAACTGTGCAGACACAGTTACTGTGACAATGTCACTGCTTCTGGAAAATACAGATTAAGAAACAGAAAACACACAGAAAAAATACAGTTTAAAATTTTACTTAAATTCATCTTAGCAAACAATTTGGGGAAATCAGTCACACCTCATGTTAAGTCCACCACCATGCCACAGTACCGCAATATCGGTGAGTCATTCGATAATTTGTAGGGAAAATATGCAGAGTTAAAAAATTCTCCAACTCAGCAAGAGTCACAGATTCGCTATTCTTTATCTGTTTAGACAATTCTATTAGTTATTACAATGTCCAAAGGTTACAGGTACCCAGAATACAATGTCCATAGGTGACTGAGAGGTACCCAAAATACAATGTCCAAAGGTTACAGGTACCCAGAATACAATGTCAATCGGCGACCGGTATACAGAAAACAATGCCCTTAGGTGACAGGTATCCAGAATACAATGTCCATAGGTGACAGGTACCCAGAATACAATGTCCATAGGTGACAGGTACCTTGGCTCAGAGAACAAGCGTACCTCATTATTTGTATTTCTTTTTGCATCTAAATGATCCATTATTCTACCAATTAATTTGTTCTTTCCACTTTCTTTTTAGATAGGTTACCATTTTAACAGGGTGTAAACAACCAAAGTTAAAAAACAATTGGATATGGGTGTCACGGTCCACGCCGTGACATCCAGTCTGCCAGACGTGGTCGCTCTGGAAGCGCCCGATAGGGGATTTGAACTGTGGTTCTTCTGGACCATATCCTGCTGTTCTTCCTCTGAGCCATTTCAGGACTTTGGATAACTCCCTGTTTATTCTTGTATTGCCTGCAGCACCAGGGGGCTGGACTTCACCAAAGGCTCTGATCTGTCAGTAACTCTCCAGCTGAATCTGATCCTAATTAACAGGATATAAAAGCCTGCCTCACCCTGGGAGGGGTGTCAGTTCATTGACTCTGGTTCCCTTGTTTGGTTCCTGTTACTCCGTACCTGCGTTCCAGTGATTCTTGTCTATTCCGGCTTCTGACCTTGGCTTTCCTCCTGGACTACTCTGACCTCTGGCTTCCCTGATTTTGGCTTCCCTTGACCACGCTTCTGCTTATCCCTGCTGTACTGAGTCTTGGAGCACCTTTCCTGGAAAGCCCCCGTGCACAGACTCACAGGCCAGGTGGCGTCTTACCTGGTCACCCTGGTCTGTGTCTACTTTGCAAGGGTGAGCGTATAACTCTGCGAGCTGGACTCCCTATCAGGTAAGACTCCGTTACAATGGGTGGATTGGCGCTAGTTAAAATATGAAAATGCAGCAACCCTAGTGTCAAAGTACAGGGTTCGCAGTAGAAAAACACCACCACACACTGTGATATACTTATACTTACAATATTTATCTGGTTATCTGTATAATATAAAACTATACATAGCGTAATACTGTATAATACAGATAGTATAATACACAGAGGTAATGGGTCACTCACTCTTCCCAGAGCCATGTATAGAAGGCTCTGGCTGTGATGGCTTGTCAGCAAAGAAAGCTGCTGGAATGAATAGTGTATCCTGGAGTTCTGTATTTCCCCAAATATTCAGGAGACTTGAAGATTTTTCCAAAATTATGAATTTACTTCAATAAGGTACAAAGAACCGGATATAGCAGCAATCAAATAATAAAAGTCCAAAGTAAAAGCACAACGCGTTTAAACCATGTAGATCATCCTCAAGTGCATGACCCGAGTTCTGCAGAGGGGCCCATTACGAGGAGTGAGGGTGTTTAATGAGCCTGTGGATCGAAGAAAGGGAGGGCCGGAAGGATCTAGGATCTCAATGGGGTCATCAGCGGTGGTTGGCGGGCCCTTTGGCGATCAGTCAGGAGAGAGTCCAACACCGTTTCCGTCACATAGTGGGAATGGCCGCTGAGAAAAAAAACAGCACTGAAGGGATGTGGCACCTGAGCTGTCGGTCCCGTACTCATCCAGGACGTCTTGGTTAACTTGACAGAAAGCTTCCTCTTTATCAGTGGGAGCGCCATGGCCCTTCCAAGGTCCCTTACGTGTGGAGCCTATATGCACAGAGCAGAGGGAATCACCCGAGTCAGAGCCCAGGCACCTGAGGTGCCACGAGCAGTCTGTGTGTCACAAGCGGGGAACGGGAAAGCGACTGGGAGCCGCGACAGGAGCCAGGAAGGCCGAAAACCCCGGGGGGAGGGCACGGTTGCCGCAATCGCGGGCAGCGCGAGGGCTGGCAGGGGGGATCCCCAGGGAAACCCAAAGGCTAGGCAGCACCCCAGGATCCCAGATCCCCACATAAATCAAAGGGGCACACACAAAGCAAGCAGCCCCGATAATAAATACAAAATAGGCAGTAACAATGCAAATAAATACACAAAAGAACCCAGAGCAGACACACTCTCTGAGTTAGACAGTGCTCACCTAGAAGCAGCAGCAAAGAAAGAGGAAGTGGGAGGGTCTGACTGTGGGATTTCATACTGCTGTCATTTTGTTCTGATTGGTTGTTTGAAAAAAATCTGTTAACTGTTTCTTTGCTGCTGGAGGTTTCAGTAAAGAAGGTAAAGCAAATATGAAGCCTCCTGTCTAGTCATAAAATTAGACTTCAGATATATTGGATAAAAAGTAGAAGGATTCTTCAAATCCATGTGTGTGAAAATATCACCATCACTTTCTATATTTTCTATCGTATTGTTTTCTTTCTTATGTTTAAAAAAACTTTTTAAGACATAATTTGTTTAAATCTGTATATGCTTCAAATTTATTTATATAGCAGCTAGGGGCAAATTTAAATCCTTTATTTAAAACTTTTACCTGAGTTTGATCTGAAAAAAAATTCTGTTAAATTAAAAATCTTTATCTTCTCAGTAATTTTCTTCCTTGCCCTCTCCAATTTTTTTTCCTCCCCTATTTCCCCTTCTTATAAAACCCTGTGTCTCTTTCTTTGCGGGTTCGGTGTTTCCATTGGGGCCTACCTCCATCTCCGACCTAAAAAAGTAGAGTTAGTATTGTCATCCTCTATATTTCTCAATGTATCGAAGCGATTGTGTATTGGAGTGTCTCTCCTTTGAGGGGGCGGGGACCTATATTGGTTCCCATGAGTATTATTTATTCCATTCTCTAATTGATTTTTATTTTTATTTCTCCAATTCCCACTATTATTTCTTTTTCTTTTTACTTCAATCCATTCCTGGGTTTGTATTCTTTCAATTGTTGGTTTTCTTATTGGTCTATCTATGATGGATTTATTATAATTGATCTCTGATTTTTGGTCAAATTTCCTTTTATGGTAATTTTGCCCATACTTTGTTCTACTGTGGTTATTTTTATAGGTGAATGTGGAACAATGCACCCGAGGAAGACCTACAAAGTTGAAACGCGTTGTGCTTTTACGTTGGACTTTTATTATTTGATTGCTGCTATATCCGGTTCTTTGTACCTTATTGAAGTAAATTCATCATTTTGGAATAATCTTCAAGTGTCCTAAATATTTGGGGAAATACAGAACTGCAGGATACACTATTCATTCCAGCAGCTTTTCATGCTGACAAGCTAGAGCCTGTTATACGTGACTCTAGGAAGAGTGAGTGACATATTACCTCTGTGTATTATACTCTCTGTATTATACAGTATTATGCTATGTATAGTTTTATATTTTACAGATAACCAGAGAAATATTGTAAGGTCCTCCTTGATATAAGTATATCACATTGTGTAGTGGTGTTTTTCTATTGCGCACCCTGTACTTTGTACATGTATTTGCATTTTAACAGGATGATGGAGGAAAATGATTTTTATTCTTGTCTAAAACGAATTCCCGTTGGAAAGTACGAAACATGTCAGATGAGTCATGGTGGAGTTTTAAATTGCTGTTAATACCATCTTAATTACCACCTGCCAGAAAACAGACCATAACTAGCTTTTAATGGCTTCATAATACTCTATGAGAGCTGTAAACAGTAACGCATGCTGGTTACTCCCTGTAAATAATGGTGAGATTTTGTAGTTGGAAAATAGCCAATACTTGCTAAGATTAGTGACAGCTACTAGCAAGTAAAGCCAGTTTGGTAAAAGTTACCAACAACATTGGAAACAAGCTCTTAGTCTATATGTAATGTGTTAAGAATTAATTTTAGTATTTATTATATTAAATTTAAGAATTGGCCTCTAAGCTCATTTTACTATTGAAGAATTGGACCTCAAATTAATGCCTTGCATATAATTTTAAAGTATTCTTTAAAAATATAACTGGGTTTCCAAGAGATCTTTGCTTAATGAATTTGAGGCTGCTCGTAAGACAACATAAATTCACTCCAGTATATGCCAAACATCCTGTACATCCTGGTCACTCTTCTAATCGTTTACCTTCAAAGAAAACTTCAGCAATCTGTGAGTGTGACAGATAATGAGATGATGTTATAAAATAATTGAGAATTTCCTCTAGCCAGTTAAATTGGCATTTTTTACATTTTCAAAATATATCATAGCTTAGAAAGAAAGAAAAATCTGCAACCATTAAAAAAAACAAAGACTCATTAAGATGAATTGTTCTGTATCAATCAAGCGTAAGTGTTAAATTGAATGTATTTTGCATAGAGTATGTAATTGTTACTCAAAACCACTTTATGACAGCTGTCAATGGTTTTTAGGGAAAAAAAGAATAATATTGTTATACATCATATTTTAGTAACTTAATTCTTAAAGAGACAGTGCAGTGATATCAAATTAGCTATATATAATGATGCAAGCCTTTCTATGTGTCCAAATGCATGGAAAGCTGTATAAACCCTGTATATAATGGACACTGTAATGCATAATAAAACCGCATTACACTGTAATGTGTTGAACGTCTCCCGACACTTTTCTATGATATCTTCCTTTGGTATCACATAGTGAACTGGTTCCCCTACTTAGAAAGCTGCTAACACTTTAGACCATATTCTCTCTGATCTGTGGTCAGTGTATAACTTCTCAAGGGTACCTTTTCCAATGCTCCGATCACCATCTGCTCTAGCACCATCTGCAAAAGCATCTTCATTTCAATCTAAGCAAATTCACCAAGTTTTCCTCAAGCAGAAATCATAACTCTGTCAAACTGCAACGATTATCTACTTTGAAAGTAACACATGTGGGAAGGGAAGACGTATAGGAATGGCTGGGAAGGGAACACGTATGGGCATAGTTGGGAAGAGAACACGTATGGGTATGGCTGGGAAGGGAACATGTATGGGCATAGTTGGGAGGAGAACACGTATGGGTATGGCTGGGAAGGGAACACATATGGGCATGACTGATGAGAGAAGTATGGGCGAGGAGATATATAGCTGTTGGGATAACAATGTAAACATGGCTGTAGACAGGAGTGACTATGAAAGGAGATACAAAAATAAATGGGAAGGAAAGAGGGATGCTTCCTGCTCGTTGAACATCATGGAAATTGCTTCCCACAAAAAAACATTCTAAGATCACCTCTAGTGGATGTCTGGTAGACAGCCACTATAGGCAGCTTTAGTGCTGCAATGTAAACATTGTAGTGTCTCTAAAACTGCAATGTTTTTCATTGCAGCACTAAGTGTAGAAGGGACACTGCACCCAAACCACTTCAATGAGCTGATGTGGTATGGGTGCCTATAATGTCCCATTAAACTTCCTCCAAAATGTTCTGATTTATCATCTTATTAGACCAAAGATATGCATTATTTAATAGTGGTGATGCTAAAATGCAGGAATAAGGAATCGTGCACACAAATCATCACTTAAAACCAAGACAATGAGTGAGCGCTGAATAACACAAATGAGCAGCAACCCTAAAAGGGAATCCCTCAAAAACCCTTTAGGATAAAACACAAAAAATACAAAAAAGGGCTGCGCTTAGATAAAAAGTATAAAAGTCCAGATAAAATAAATAAAGGAGAGAAGGTCTTATCTTGCAATGTCCGTAGTGCTTAGTCCGAAACAGTAATCTTGCTTTCTGTCTTCCTTGCGGACTGTCTCGTATGTAAGAGATAAAAACAGATACAAAACCACAATGGTGCAGTATATCTTAATGTGAGAGGAATAAAATATAAAAGCTTGATTGCGAACTCACATATCCAAGAGCTAGAACCTGCTCTGGTATAGAAGGCGTACAGCGGTTTAGATCCCCGCTTATGGGATATGGGATGGTTATCCTTCACGTATTTCCTCCTTCCGTTGGTATAAGAAATGCTCAAATAAAATAAAAAGAGACAGCCAATAGTGTTCTCTGCGTAAAATTAAAATAGAATATAAAATAAAATAAAAATGGATACTCACAAGACAGGAGCAGGTCAACTGCTCCTGGTATTTCGCACTGGTGGAATAATCCCCACCTAGGATTGCTTGGAGTCCAGGGAGTGATGCCAGGTAAAAATAATGCCAGGTAAAAGTAATAATTATATGTGTATAAAAAGATAAGTAGTACAATAAAAGATTATAAAATATACTTTAATTGTAACATTACACAATATAAAAAAACCATAAACGCGTTTCGCCAATCGGCGTTATCAATATGGGTAAAGAACCTGATACCTGGCAGTAAATCATTTAAATAGCATATACAATTAGTTCAAAAATTGGCGCCAAAATTTGGGCAGCCAATCAAATTGCAGTAAGAAATTACATTAAATAAAACACTAATAAAACATAATTTATAACATGCATAAAAATAAGAACTAAAAAACTATGTACATCATATAGTTAAACTCTAGAAACGATCAATAGTTGATGCAAAAAAGACTATGTGATGCACGGTCACATGACCGGCATCGAAACCAAAGGGAATTGTGGGATATGTATTTCGACGCCGGCCGGCACTGCGCAGCCGCCGGCGCCGTAAGGGGGAACTGGTAGCTGGCGTCTGGACGCAGCCGCTCGCATAGACGGTGCGTCCAGACGTCAGTGGGCGGGACGAAAAGCGGACGTGCTGACGACGGCGGCACGCACACAACAGAAGCCGCCGTCGTCAGGAAGTAAATAGACGACGGCTCACACAACGCTGTGGCCGTCGTCATGGAGATAGGACACAACAGAGCCGGCTATGGCCAAATAGAAGAGGGGGGAAAAATAAATAAAAATATACAGAATAAAAAGGAATATGCTGTAAAATAGATGAAAAAATAGTGGTAATAAATGAAATAAATAAAAGCGAAATGATAAGGGGCAGCAGATAAAAATAAACAAGACATAGCAGATAAAAATTATCATTGACATCATGCCAACTCTGCTAAATAGTAAGGGCAGGCATGGTGAGTAAATAAATAAATGGAATAAAATGGTATAAAAACATATATTAAATGCTCTTACTTACAGGAAATTGAACAAATCAAAATCAACATTCAGGCCATAAGGTGCGAGAGTTTGAAGTGTATAGACCCACTCCATTTCTTTTTTACCTAAAATATTTTTAATGTTTCCACCCCTCCATGGAACCATACATTTC